TCCTCACGTCGAGGTAGATATTGGTCTACCGGAAGTCGATCCTCAATGGGAAGTCCCTCAGGTGACCAGCGTCGACGACTTTGAACTCTGCAAGGCGGTCAAGGAGCGAGGACGCCCAACAGGGCAGTATGAACCACTTTCGCCTGACGCTACGGTGAAGCAGAGTGTGCCAAATTGGGAGAGTCTGTACATACAGTTCAAGAACAAGCAAGGTACGTCTCGTTCTCGCCATACAGTGCTTCATTTTCCCGGAAAACGTCCGCATTTCTCTTCGTAAACTTATCGGCACCGTCATTTCTGTCGCAACGTTTATACCTTATCATGATAATTGCGAATGTAGGAAGACCGATACCCGTGAAAGTGTCATTGCCGGCAATAGAAGACGAAGATGAAGACGAAGCGGAGCTCAGTGCGGCTAGAAAAGGCAAACGGAAGGCAGGTCCCGAAGACCCACTGTCGGATTATTGAGCGAGACCATGCCCTGGCGGTGTAACTGTATCTTCTCACCGGCCGGCAAGCTATGGAAATATATGTAGTACTGACTTGTAGCATGAACTTGTAATAATCGACGCACATATGCCGACACATACCCACATTAATTCTTGGTCTCGGACTTCCAAGTACGAGGCGTCATCGGCAGTAGTGCTGCTGCAATACGGCGACCTTCTTCCGCTAGGAGATTGTATGTAGAGCACGCATTACGCTAGACGAGCAGGCTGGTGAGTAATCAAGTACAAAAACCAGAGTTAGAACGAACTGTGTCCATGACGTCGATTTGTACACCGATGTTGCTGAGATGCTGCCGTATGGCTTGCGGTGGTTGTACAAGCCGTGATCCGGTACCTAATAGCAGAATTTCTGCAGCAAGGATGAAGCCAGCTGAAACCTAGAATCTTGGAAAGTACTCACCTGGTTTCGGAACGACCATCTCAAAAAGCTGGAAGTGGTCCTTGTTCCAGCCCTCCCATAGGGTCTGCGGGACATTCCATATGAACACTTTTCCATCGAGAAATATACAAGACGAGGGTATAATTCGTCCGTCGTGCAAATGGACACCTTGGGGGGAGACGGTCTTCACTTGTGTAGTCGGTACAGGCCCGCCTTCGAGAATATTATACAACATTGACGGCGACTCCCGCACAACATTTGTTCTGTGAATGTGTCGTACATTGGTCCGTGCGATGTTCAGAGCGGTACGACCAGCCGGGATAGTCCTGAGCAACATGGTGGATCGGAGAGCGCGCTTGACGTCACGCGCCACGCGTTTCAGGTTTGTGAAGAAGTAACAAACAATGTAAAGACATTAGTAAGGGGCTCTAAGCCTTTTGTTATGCCCTTTCAAAACGTTTGTTACTCCCTTTCAAGTAGCAGACGCTCATCATCTCGCGGTTTATGGGCGCTCGCTCGTACTCTCTTTCGACCACCACCACCGGCTGCCGACGCTTTCTCGGTTTCAGCTTTGACCACAGGGACTCATCTGTACTGGTGCTTAAAATACCAAGATAATATGGCCGGACCTTCCGCAGCAGACGTCCGGAGTATCCTCTCGCTACCTAATCCAAACACCCCTGGTCCCTCCCAGCTTCGCAAACAACCCGGGACGACTGAGCGCGCCCGCAAGCCGGAAGGGATATCTCGGGAGCTTTACTCTCTCATTGGACCATCTGCGCCTACACTCGCTGCGCAACTCGCGAAACCGCGACTGAAGCAGAAGCCAAATCTTGGTGGTGGTGGACGGGTTAAGTGGTATGTCTAATGACGCTCTACCGTGCAAAGGTGCTTCATTGTGGTGTAGGGAATGGCGCACGTTCAAGAACGGTGCACGTAAAGACTCGCTCAAGTTGTCTCATTGGGCCAAGGCTGGGTCAGATCCAGAGGCTGGTGCGTCCAATGCTAATTACTGTACTGAGTACTTTCATGAATACCAGCCTCCCTATCAGAGTATAATTTTGCAAACTATAACGTCCAGCCCAATGTATTCTTGTATTCTCAAGACGAATATTCGCGGCATCTTACAGGTGCGTAGTCCACCATAGGCTCTCCACGATCGCTCACGTTCACTCGGGCTGCAGACTCTGAATGGACTAAAGAAGAGACTGACTACTTATTTAACTTGGTCCGCGAGTTCGATTTACGGTGGTATGTTATTGCGGACAGATACGACTACCCTGGTGGACAGCCCAGGACGATGGAGGTATGTGCTCGCGATCACGCTTGAAGTTTGATAATTAAGACGTTCCAGGACTTGAAAGACCGCTATGCTAGTGTATGCAGGAAACTGATACGGAATAGACCCTGGGCAGGAGATGAGGCTAGCAAGTCGCAAATGCTATCTAGTTTCTCCTTCGACAAAGGTACGTAAATGCTTGTCCATCCAAACTCCCATTGCTCATCGGATCTCCTAGATCGCGAGCTCCTGCGGAAACAATATGTTGCCAGTCTAGAGAATAGAACACAGGAGCAGATTTTAGAGGAAGAGGCGCTTTTTATAGAAATAAAGCGACTCGAGCAGAATGAGAGACGGTTTAAGAAAGACCGTGAAGAGCTCCTCAGAACACTCATGGGCATGGAATCAGGTCTTCCCGATATTATCGTGGACGAGGACGCATTCTCCGCTCCCCCCGCTGAAGTCAAGAAGACGAAGAAGAAAAACGCTAGTACTGCAGAAGCAGAAACGCCGACATCGGCAGTCGCATCGACATCCAGTGTACCCCATGTTCCTAAGAAGCAGTCGGCGAAATCCGCGGCCTATGGTATGCGCATGCAGCTTGGATTATCCTGCACAGACTTACGGACACTATTCAGACGCATTACACTGTATACATAGGACAGATGTCCCGCAAACAGCGCTCACTACCACCAAAGCAGCTCATCAACCTGTATTTCTACGCTCGTACAAGCTCCCTGTCCCCAAATCCTCGACAGCGCCCAAAATCACGGCAGCTCTTAGCGAACTGGGTGTTCGTTCAGATCGCCTCGTCATGCCGACAAAGGACAATTGCGGCCTGCTAGAGTCGCTACTGGATGCGACGTCGAGCCTGGTAGAGATGAAGAAGCAAATGGACAGACTGGACCATGAAATTCGGGTGGCCCAGGAGCGGTTAGCGGCGCGGAATGCGGAGGGAAATGAAGACCATGCAGAAGGAGATATGGAGGTAGATGAGGATGCCGATGCTGATGCTGAAGGTGTAGAAGTAACGGGAGAGGATACTCGAGAACAGAGTGTTGTCAGTGCAAGGAGTGCAAGGAGTACTAAAGCGGCTCGGAAGGTAAGACCAACGTTCCCCTGTTTGTGCGCATTCACTGAAGTGATTTGATCAGTCGAGACGTTCTATGTCGATATCATCGGTGGATACATCGGCAACAAGTGGTATGAAGAGGAAGCGAACATGAAATTGGTATCGCTACTCTAGTCTGTGCTTTCCTATTTGTATATACGTATACCCGTATACTTTTCATGTTGTATATGTTGGAATTCTAGGTCCTTTCGCTCAAAGCTCCGATTATTTGCGCGGCGGTATATCGACATTCATCAGGTCCCTCGCACAGCCTATCTTCCCTACGAAGTGGTCCTGCGCCAACGCACGTATAACTCGCATCACCAGGGCTGCGTCTTCGTCGACATCATCGTTACCCGCATATCGCGCCGAGAAATGATTCAGTAATAGCCTGGTCGCTCTGATCGTCGTCGCAAATGCACCTGCCATCTGTGGCGTTGAGTGTCCTCTGGATTTGGTACGTTCCTCGATGCTCTCGTATGTCTCGTCTGGTTTGGTATCCGGGTCAAAGCCAGGGAGGTGGGCGTTTGTGGCTTCGTGGACGAGTACGTCTGCATCGACAGCTAGCTCTGCAATAGGCGAAGGATCGAATGTGTCTCCTAGTATAACTATCTTCCTCCCAGGCCGTCTCGGTGGTCCGTGCAATACGGTCCCATCTGCGAGCTCGACGCTTTCCCCTTGCTGTAAGCGACTCATCACGGACATGGGTGTGCCAGTCCGTTTGAGCTCGGGCACGTACTTCTTGGGGTCCATCTTCCCCGGTATGGGTCGTTCGTGGACGACATACCCGACACAAGGCACGGAGTGCGCGATGGGTGCAGCGCTGACGGTGAGCACATCGCTGCTAAAGATGTCTGACCAAACCCCGGCCTCGTTTTGGGGTATATCACGCCCCGAAGGGAGTTCGCAGGGATGTAAGGGCAGGGCGGTGAAATCTCCGGGTGGATCTGTTGGGAATCGAAGTTCGTGGACAACATAGGGACTGCCTAGGCGTGTGTAGGTGTACTTGAGACCATTACGGATATAGGCTCGTGTACCCAAAGGGCCATAAATTTCTAATGGCTGGGATTCGCATAAGTATCATCTTGATTACGGGGCATTTGTAGTATACCTCTGTCTGCGTATTTGCAGCGGCCTGTGTTCGAGGATCTTCAATCCCATCAACCATCCCTCCTGCACCGTTGAGACGACTTGCAAGAAGAGGGATAATACCAAAGATATGATCGCCTGTCTCAAAAACCTTCAGACATACAATTGTCTCAAGACTGGGATGCTCACCATGTGTATGAGTTATGAAGATCTTTTGGATCTTCCCCATCTTGACATCACTCTTCTGGACTTGATGCTGAGTCGCTTCTCCACAATCGAAGAGCCAAACAACACCATCCAACCGTAGTGCTAGCGCAGAATGGTTCCGTGTGGCGGACGGCTGTGCTGAAGCCGTACCGAGGAACGTGATGGTCATGCTTGCAATATTGCTCGGAGCCATTGATGATGAGACGACGGTCCGTCAGGGCGTACTGCGTATAAACAATGCGTCTCTGCAATTATCAGCAATAATGCACGGTGGTTGTCAGTTGATCCTATCCAAGAGGGTTCATGAGGTTTGGAAACTCCGAATCATGAGTCACTGCGGAAACTATTGCGGAAACTGTATATTGCAACCGCCGATTTGTGACTGGAGTCGCTCACTGGAGATGGTAAAAAAAAGTATAAAAATGATGTCCCAGGGAGGATTCGAGCCTCCGTCTTCACGGTTTTGTGTAACCACAACGTGATGATCTAACCACTAATCGACAAGGACCGAAAGAGATTAGCAATTGAACATATATGATCCGCTACGCGGATATGCACCCTTTGTGACATGACTCATGACGTTGACGTCTGTAAGTTAGCGATTCGGACTGAGAGCTACTGTACAGCTGACGTCTACACGGCAACATGACGCTGGATCAATCTTCTTCACAGGACAATCAGAGTACACTACATTGTCTAGATTGTCAACATGCAGAGGAGCCGCGAAATACCGGGTGGAAACTAGTCTTATATAAGTACTAGTCTTGCGATAAGTTTCCCCTATTCTCCCAACCCATGTCAACATGGTCGTGAAGGCACTCTTTCCAAGTGTTGTCTCCAGTATCCCGCCCAGGGCCTTTTCCTCCATGGCTGCTCCCCCGCCTATGCCGCACATCTTGTCCTCTTTCAGGCTAGGGGATCTCAATTTGAAGAATCGCGTTGTGATGGCTTCTTTGACCCGTAACCGCTCCGTCCCTGACACAGTACCTAACGAATATAATGTGGAATACTATACTCAACGCGCTCAAGGTGGTGCTGGACTCATCTTGTCTGAAGGTACTTTGGTAGCGCCGCAGGGTACGGAATGGCCTACTGCTCCTGGTATATGGTGCGAGGACCATGTCTCTGGCTGGAAGAAAGTCACCGATAGTGTTCACCAAGCTGGTGCAGCGATGTTCTGTCAGGTACGTGTTTAGGCCACTCGTCCGGGTGTGAGTTCAACTGTTCTTCCATTAGCTCTGGCACGTTGGACGCGTCGCGCACCCTGACATGCCGGAGCAAAAGAAAACAGGAAAGCCAGTGCCGGGACCGTCCGCTATTCCTGCCCGCGGTGGAAAGTTCAGACAACTTCCAGGTGAACCTGGATATATCATGGTGTGTATTCATAAGGTTTGACGTAACTTACTCTGACGATGTTATCACGTAGCCTACGGCTATCGAGGATCCGAAAGTGTATATCGAACAGTTCAGCCATGCGGCTCAAATGGCTAAGAAAGCCGGATTTGACGGTGTAGAACGTGAGCAATTCTTTGAATAGCGAGCGAATCACACTCTTCAACCAGTTCGTCCTCAGTGCACTCGGCGAATGGGTACCTAGTCCATCAATTCCTAGACTATAATTCCAATAAGCGTTTGGACGAATGGGGCGGGTCGGTAGAGAACCGCTGCAGATTCGGCCTTGAATGCTTTAAAGCGCTGGTAGACGTCTGGGGCCCTGCACGAGTCGGGATCAAAATCAACCCTTGCGGAGGGTACAACGACGTTGGGTATGTCTTTGAGATAATGAAAAAAGCCCGAATATTGACTCAAAACGACTACTTATTTACACAGGATGCCCTTACCAGATACTATTGCAACCTTTAGTTATTACATCTCCCAGATCTGTGCTATGAAACCTGCGTACGTCCAACTTGTTCGCTATGTCCCAATGATGGATCCGGCCATCCCTTCCACGTCGAACGAGAGCAAGTCATACAAACGCGGCACGCCCCACGACGTTCTCGCTGTCTATGGTACTATCATCAAGCCGCCGGCCGCTGTCCTCCAAGAATACTCAGAGGCCGCCTATCGCGGTCCAGCTATGCCAAAGGCTTCATACGACTCGCGCAATCCATCCCCTACTCGTCTCTTCGTGAACGGTGGGCTGACGCCTAGTGAGGCCGATAAGCTCGTGGAAGAAGAGAAGATCGACGCAGCGGTCTTTGGAGCCTTGTGGATCGGTAACCCTGACTTGGAGAAGAGGCTGGAGAAAGGCATGGATGTTGGACATGGTATCAATACGAACGTCGATCCGAAGACGTTCTATAACTGGCCTGCTGATGGTAATCCAGGGAATGGGTACACTGACTATCCCACCTCCACATAAATTAGGCATGTTGTACACATATCGGTTTGGTAAACTTCGAAAGGATGTATTAGTATTCCACAGAAACTAGATATTGAATGTTATGACTCCAATTATTCGCACATGTCTTCACCGTCCTTGACCGACGCTTCTTAGCGGTAGATCATTTGCCATCGTCCGGGTTCGAACAAGCACCTTCTCAAGGGGGTATTTGTGGGTGGCGCGCGGCTTGATGAACGCCCATAAACGCGTCACTTATCCAAAGTTGTACCCACCACGACTTCTTTCTTGCTTCCTGTCACTGTGTATGTTTTTCATCGCCAGTTCTTGGATACAAAATGCCTATGACGCGATCTAGAACGAAGAAATCTGTGGAACATGATGAAAATGGTACCAATGGCGCAGAACCTGATGGAGAAGCAGAGGGTGCAGGAGTTGCAGAGGCCGAGCCTCAGGATACCGTTACCGCCATTGAGGTGTGTACCGCGTTTGCGTGTCTTGTTAAATTATCTTAGGGTCCAGAAGTTGTATCATCCGTGAATGAAGACTGAGAAGCTCAATGAACACCTATAAACTTTGATATAGGGACATCTTTCCGGATTGGTGAAGAATATGAAGACCTTGCAACGGGAGATGAGAGCACTTAGGAAGAGAAACGAAGAACTAGAGGAGGAGTTGACGAACGCGAAAGAAGAGATTGAAAACGCTTCACAACCGAAGAGGGGAGCGAAAGCGAAAGTAGGAGCGAGGGAGCTGCAGAAGAAAGTCAACGAGCTGAAAGGGGAAGTGAAAGAGCTTGAGAAGGTACGGAGATGAAGCATGGTTGATCATTGGACATAAGTGTTTATCACTCGCTGGTTGTGCAGGCGCATATGAGAGACAAAAAGAAGATTGCGAAAGTACGTCCATCCAGTGAAACGGTCTTACAGTACCCTCTGAAGTTTTGATACTCTGATTCGATAAGCTGAAGGCCAGCGAAATCAAAAGAGATGCACTAGATCTCCAGGATGATGCTGAATACGAAGTGGGCGACTCAGCGGATAAGATGCGGAAGGTAAGAACAGACGTAGTGGACGTACACGTCGGCTTATATTATAACCCCTCGATTGTAGTTGCTACGCCGATTTCACGATACGATGGTTGCAAATGCACTGGAGACAGACGAAGAGTGCGCTATCTGCATGTGCCCAATGGAGGTCGGGAAGGCTATGAGGTATGCTGCCCATCATCAATGGCATGTGATACGACTCACGTTTTGCTGGCGCAAAGCTTTCCATGTGAACACACATTTTGTGACGATTGTACAAAACAACTAGATGGAGACCACGAAATGGTCCGTTGTCCGAGCTGTCGCAAAGAAGTAGCCCGAGATGATCTGGAGGTCGTAGAGCACACAGCAACGACGCAGTGGGACGAGCTCTTGACTATTGCCACACGCTGGGCAAAGATGGACCGTCGAAGAGACACGGACACAAGTGAAGAAGAGGCCGAAGAAGAGGCTGAGCAAGGATTCATTGATGATGGAACCACGGAAACGAAGTATATATCATCAGCTATCATTGCGACGAATTTATTTTGATCACTTTACACTGTAGGTCTGCAGTATCTGAGGTACCTCCAATTAATCCTCTCGAAAGCTCTCCGGAGCCAGAGGCAAACGGGGGAGAAGGCGAACAGCCCGTGAGTGCGTCACAAGCGTCTCGGGTCACAAGGCGTATCACCTCTCCTGAAGAAGGGTGCGTTCATATGCGTCAACCTTGTGTATGTTGTGTCTGACTGAGGCCTCTTGCCAGTGTCGCCTCTACCTCTGGCGCGCACGACGACCAAGGTGACGGTGAAGAAGAGGATGCTCTCTCTGACCCCGAACCGCCCACCAGCTCGCAGCCTGGATACTCTCAATTTTCTGCTGTAGAGAAGAGGAGGAGAATGGAAGAACTTGCAGAGGCACGCACGTTAAAAAAGCTGAGACGATAAACATGTTCACGAAATTCCAATATACCCGGTAGGATTCAATACTAAAAAGGTTCGTCATCATGGTTCGGAGTAGGAAACCAAAACAGTTGGCTCTGATGCGGTGAGTAATGCAATTATAGCGTTCACTGTTTCCTTCCCAGCACTGTACTGGCGGCGGTAGCGACTCTCAGCGCAACTGCTTAGGCCAGTCGAAGCTTACAAATCCTCGCCGCCCGCGCTGGTAGTGGTCAGCAAAGAGGATTATAGACCAACCCTACACTCACACACGGGCGGTGATGTGCTTTCCTGTTATGTCACCGAACGTGGCCAACACTCGCGAATCCCACAGCTTCTGACCGCGTTCCACCGCGTCTCGGTCATGAGGGCGTCGCGACTTGTACCACGAGCGCTGTCCTTCCTTACACATCTCCCACTCGCATGCAGTCGCTGTGGGGCGAATTGGCAGTTACACGTCAAAGAACATACAGTATATTGGACCTAGCCCGCTTGGATCATGCCGATGAATCGATTTTGACCAATTCGAGCGGCACATTTTCCTTCCTGTCCCAGGACCGCTCTATACTGATCAAGGCATTGTCGACTAGTAGCTGACCAAGACAAAAGATCAGCTAGACGGGCGGCGTGAATATGGTTAGTACTCACAGGCGGCCGTCGCGTAACGTGCTGATGCACTCCTCACTGCAGTATAAAATCTGGGTGCCCCGAACGATGGTCCATCAACACATCTCTCCTCAGTACGATACACACATCCGGCACCATGTCTTCGCAAAAGCCCCTCTTGCTTTACACTTGGAAAACCCCCAATGGTCGCAAAATTTCTGTTCTCCTCGAGGAGCTCAAAGCTGCATACGGTGCTGATGTCGTCGACTATGAGTAGGTGTCCCAAGTTATATTTCTGCGCCCCAAATATCTGACTCGTATTCCCCCTGTCATCCAGCATCGAGCGCATCGACATCTCGAAAAATGTGCAGAAGGAAGACTGGTTCATCAAGCTAAACCCCAACGGCCGTATTCCCGTTCTCGTTGACCGCTCTCGTGACAACTTTGTTGTGTTTGAAACCGCCGCTATTCTCCTCTATTTGCATCAGTTTTACGACAAAGACAACAAATTCGGGTTCGACAGAGAGAAGGAAGCCAACGACTACAGCGAGGCCTTGCAGTGGATCTTTTTTGCTGTACGTTGTAGTACG